ACATTGTCAAGTATAAAATGAACATCAGAACCCAACTTCAGACAGAGGCCTTCAGTACACAGCTTATATGAAAATATGCAGTGGACAATCCCAGAGTCACTGTCACCCAAGTATCCAGTAGTGGTCACAGTACCCAGCCAGTGGTCAGAGAGCCCTGTTGCCTATGCTGGTGCCCGAGTCCATTTCCCATGCTCAAGGACTGAAAAGGGGTTTTCTCTAAATTACTGATAACTTGGTAGGTATTAGATATTCAATATAAACCTGGCGATTTTCAAGAGTGACACTGACAAAATGGGACACATCTGGATGAAGGAATGAGTAGACTAGAAATACTTTGTTTGAAGATGACTCAGAAGCTTGAGGGCCTTTTAAATAGCTAGAGCTGTCAGAAAGAGGAACAAGATTTGTACTACAAATTCTGAGTCATTAGGATCTAATGGTTGACTATAGTGTTCCCTAAGCTCTAGTTCAATAGGATGCGGGATAGTGGGGTGGGGGGTTGTCAATCGAGTTTGGGAAATGCTGGATTCAACAACTCTCATTTTTAGAAGTAAGGTCTCAGAAGCAAAAGCACAATACAATCCACTCATTTATGAAAAGGTCAGAATTAATAAATAGGTCCAGATGCTGAGTGAAAATTGTTCCAATCAGAGGGGCTGTTTAGAGTGATGTTGAAACAGAAGTATGTGCTGCGGTCTGTACTATATCTAAAATGATCGTGGACTGATGCAAGGATCTGGTCCATAGTAGTTCCTACTGAAAGCAGATTTGAGTAAGCATCTCCTCATAAGCAATGCCAACCCAAAAAACCAAATGAACTTTGTATAATGATTTCTAAATGACAAGTTCTGACCTATTTTTATAGCTGGTAACTTTGACAGGAAAATATAAGACTGATTTTAAAATGTCACTAACCATCATTTTTTCCCCTTTTATACAATTTATTTTTATTTTCTGCCTTGTCATTTGGGGGTAGGAGAAAGCTATAAAGGGAATCAAACTAAGTACTTGCATAGAATTGGGTGATCTGTTAGAACACACCGATGTCCCTAAATCTTCACTTATCTATATCTATTCATCATTCTAACATTCTGAATTAACAAAAATAGCCTAGTATTTAAAAACCAAGTACCTAGTGAACAATCTTGGGATCTAAGCACTTTCACTCTGATTCCAATGTTATGCCTATAGTACTACATAGTAGTACCATGTTTGCTAGTAAGTTCTGAGAACAAATTATTCCCTTTTTGAGAAAATCTGAAGGATACCTTTGTCACACAAAGCTGCATAGTATTTTTATGTGTTTCTTGACTTAAACGGGCAAGTTGAAAATATCTTATGTAAAAATACATTTGAAAAGTGATGTGGTGGTGCTACTGCACACCTGTAATCCCAACACTTGGGAGGTGGAGGCAGGGAGATTAGAAGTTCAAGGGCATCCTCAGCTACAAAGTGAGTTCAAGGCTAGCCTGGCATATATAAGACCCTGTCTCAAAAACAATGCATTTGATTCACATAGCTTACTGAATGAGAGCTCAGCAACACAGTACACTGAGGAGTGCTGTTTGCCCTCAGGATTGGTTGACTGCTGAGTTGGGGTTCCTTGCCACTGCTCAGTTTGAGAGAGCATCCATACTGCATACAACCAGCCTTGAAATGTTCTTGAAGCAGGGTGGTGGCACATACCTTTAATCCCAGCACTCAGGAAGCAGAGGAAGGCAGATCTCTGTGAGTTCAAGGCTAGCCTGGTCTACATAGCGAGTTCCAGGACAGCTGGGGCTACAGGGAGACCCTGTCTCAAAAAAAAAAAAAAAAAAAAAAAAAAGTTCTTGTGAAGTGCAGTGCCTGCTTTTCTGTCACTTCTCTATCACGAGAAAACCACCTGTGCCATTTAATCTCAATCTGAGAGGAAGCACGTCTCTCCTCTGTCCTACCCCTTTAAAATTTTCAGATCAGATGAACATATTTAGGAGACACTTAAGATGACAGAATTTGGAGATGGGTATTGTGAACGACTCACTCTCAGTAACTACAAATGAGCCCAAACAGTTCTAAATATGGCCACATCTCACTTTTGTACTCCAGGATTTTACTCTATTTTTTGATTTATGCTGCCACATGTAAGAGGAAATTCAACTCCCTCAAATCTAAATACCAATAGCATGACAAAAAAAATGAGACTGGCTTTCTCTAGTATGACCCACATGCCCTAAATTTCTGAAAATTGGAAGAAAGTTTATATGAAAGTGTTTTTTTTGTTTTTTTTTTAATGTACCAGAGATAACCACTAAAGGTTGGCTGGGCTGGTGAGATCACTCATTGGGTCTTGCTGCCGTGCCTGACAACCTGAGTTCAATCCCTGTAACCCACATGGTGGAAGGACAGAACTGACTCCTATTAAGTTGTTCTCTGACCTCCAACACCCATGTTGTGGCACAATCGCCTCCCTCCTCCCCTCCTCCTCCCTCTTGTTACAATAAATAAAATGTGAAAAAAATGTTGTCACTCAAATGTTAAATCTTATATTTTCTTCTCAGCATGATTTAGTTTCAATGAATGGGAAACACATAAGACTGCCTGGTCTACATAGTGAGTTCCTGGCCAGCTGGGGCTACAGGGATGCCCTGTCTTAAAAAAAAAAAAAAGAAGAAGAAGACTGCTAGTGGATGCAGCTCCCTCAAACTTAGACAGGAACATACTCTATACTTCATACTATATAGAATGAGTGTTAGGTCAACTGTGCCGAATGAACTATGAACAGGTTACCAGAGGTATCCAGAGACAAAATGAAATCTTGGTGCTTATCAACTCAACTCTATCCACAGTAAGAGCTGATGTCATCTAGGTGAAGATTGACATGATGAAGGATAAGAAATGACTGTCTGAATTCATTTCGTCCTTGTCGACAATGCCCATACATTGTAAAAGAAAAAAAAAAAAACGACTTGTGTTTTCCAAGAGAAAGACAGCTACTAACGGAGACCTGTGGCCTTCTATTTTTCCATAGGCTCTCGGTCCTTCACTCTTTTTCTCCTCTGAGAAACTTGCATTTATAGTTTTAAAAAATATATATTATTTTCTTTATGTGTATGAGTACTGCCTTCATGTATGTAAGTGCACCCATGTCATGCAATGCCCGTGGAGGTCAGAAGAGTGTGTCAGATCCCCTGAAACTGGAGTTATGGACAGTTGTTAGCTGCCATGTGGGTGCTGGGATTCAAACTCAGGTCCTCTGTGAGAGCAGCCGGTGCTCTTAACTTCTGAGCCATTTCTCCAGCCCACATTTATAGTTTTAAGATGAAGGAAATTTTACTATTTCCCAATGGTTTTATATATATATATATATATGGGGTGGGAGAGTAAACACCCGAGGAAGATGACAGAACCCAGAGACAGGTATTGTGAATGACTCAGTCTCAGGGACTATCTACAAATGAGCCTAAATAGTCCCAAATATGGTCACATCTGACTTTTCTCCCCCATCATATCCCAGGGTTTTTACCCTATTACCTGAATTATACTAATACAATTATACTATACTATATTATATACATTTCACTTCCAACTTCTAAGAACAAAGATAGACACTTTAACTTTTACTTTATTAAAGTTAAATACTAAAAAAATAGATATTGAAGCCAGCACTGCTTTCTGGTTTTATTCTTCCTTTGGCACAGGAGATGACTTCCCTGGGATTCCAATGTTCACAGTGCTGGTGTTGCCATGAACAGGTAAGAAAGGATGGGCAATGGCTAGGTGGAATTTGCTTTTGTAACCTGGAGGTGAAGGTCAGAAGCTCTCAAGTCCCCAGGAAGGAAGCGCCTCAGCCTGCCTGCCTGCAGCAAGCTGCTAAGGCTATCACTCTGACCTCATCGTCCCGCTCAGCACTCCCTGGCATCCTGATTCTTTTGTCAGTGATGCTCTTTTCAGTCTCTCAAAACACCAAGGGGGAAAATCCCCAAACACAGCAGACGAATAAACACTTGTAATGTGAACAATCATATTCAGACCAACCTCTCTTGCAAAAAGACAAGTCAGTGGATTTTCTCCTTATGTAACTCATGTATTGTTATTTTTTCCTGCCTCTGCTAAAATGGCACTTTGTTCTGTCAGCCAATTTTTCTTCTACTTGCTTGTATTTTTCTGACTGGTATATGATGTTATTCTTTTTTATTATGCCCTATAATTTCCATTCTAGAATATTTGTTCTTTAGCCACTTTATTTCATTTTGTGACTATGCTATTTATCAGTGAAAAAATCACAAACAGAAAAAAGAAAAGCAAGCAATGAGCACTAGGATCTCACTTGAAGAGTCAGATAATTTTATAAGAAAAACATTTGTTTTTATTATAGAATCTAAAACCATTATTTTATGATACTGTCTTTTAGCATACTCAAATGGATTGACATTCAATGTGGACAGCAAGCTAGCTCACAAATCAACTATAATGCACAAGGAACATGTTCAACTACAAGATGCCCAGCAGCCTGTTAGTAAAGTGCAGAGAACTTTCCTTACAGTGGGTAGAATTCCAGGGACCTCTGGATATTTTTGGTAAAGTTAAGGAAAAGCTACTGCAGTCAAGAGATGGGTCATCTTTAGGCTTCAAAGACTGGCTGGCCAGGTGATGACAGGGAGACATTAGTCCTAGAGCCAATAAAAAACACTGGAAAAGAATGGGCTTTTCTAAAAAAAAAAAAAAATGTAGTTATCTCAGACAGGTACTTAGGATACTATGATTTGACAGGTTTACAGTGACCAACAAAACAGCAAAGACAAACAGTTAATATTACTTACACCCTTAGTGTATAGAGAAGACAGGTTTAAACCAGCAGCAGTAAGTTCCGTAATAACTCCTGAGACAAGTTATCTTATGCCCTGTATCTCTGCCCTATGCCAGTGAGAAATGGGAACACAGAATAAAAAGTGATTTACTACTGTATGGGATTCAGGAAGTACTTGAAAAGTGACAAAACTCTATGTTATTAAATGACAAAACATATTTAGAGGCTTTATTTAAAAATCTTTCACTGTTCATTATCAAAGTTACAAGATTGTTTGCATACCAATAGACTGACTGTAAACATAGGATATTTTCATTAAGGAAAGATGGGTTTACTATAATTTGATCTTCTACAAAAAAATTACTGCAAGTTATTGATAACAGAATTTCTCTTTTACTTTTTTAAGACTAATTCTCTTGAAAATTCGACCAACATTTTGGCTCTTTTGACTAAGGTTCAACCATGGTCACTTTAAAAAATACCCCGCTCATTTGTTAATCACAAATACAAACTGCGGCATGTTTCCATTTTCTTCTTAGAACAAAGGTCTCAGCTTCATTATATTTCACGGGAAGACTGGCTCGCAGTGGTCCTGCTGCATCTTCCCTGTCTCAGCCGAGGTTTAATGACGGCAGTGGAGGGAAGCAGCAGTGGTGCATGGTAAGACCTGCCGGACAGGCTCATCTCTTCCTGCTCAGCTTATAGCAGCAGAGTGTTTCTGATCAGGCTGCCTCCACCAAACCTGACTGAAGCAAGGTGGCATGCTCTGGTAAATCTTGCCTCAGGGTGATTCCATCCTAGCTAGGAGTTGGTCCTTCAATCTGTTGGTTGGGGGACAACACTAATATGAAGAAAATTATCTGGGTAGCTCAGATGTTCACTCAGCCACTGCAGGGGTGTTTCCAACATTGGCTCAATTCCATGAATCATCACTTGATTCTTTTTTTCTCCATCTATTCCAAGAAAGAAATCCAGTAATAATCAATAGGAACCAAAACCCCAAAAATCTTTTGCCTTTAAAAAATACGTAGTGAATTAAATGGGTTTTAAAACTGTTTTGTCCCCTGAACAGGAAATGCAGACAAGGAGAAAGTTTAAATGTTGCAATATGTATCATCCAAAACAGAAACCTGAGGGTTACAATGAACTCTGCTAAAAATTCTGTTGCTATATGAAAGTATTCATTCTTTCTTAATTACTGTGCTTGCCCAAGATTGACGTTAATGAAACTATGGTGGAGAAAACAGCACAGTATACCCACTGACCAAATTATTTTAGTTACACATTAAAAACTGCACCATAAATAGTATTAAAAATGCTAAGTACATAGGGCAGGTCCACATACATTTAAAAATATAAAGCAGACATATGTCTAGCAATGATCCAGAATCAGATTAGTATTTCAGAAAATGTGAAATGAAAACTAAGAGCTTTGGTTGACTGTTAGCAATGTGTTCAACTAGACCTCAAAGTGTTAGAAATTACAGTAACACAATTAAAGTTGCAATCAGAAGGACCTGGGAGTCTGACTTGGGGACCACTGTCCTAAGAGTCACGAAACCTGGTGATTCTTGCAAATATACACTTGCTAATCCAAACGGTGTTACAGGGCCTGCTAGAGGGCTCAGGGCTCAGTGCACTTGCTGACAAGTTCAATCCACAGTACTCACAAGGTGGAAGCAGAGAACCTACCCCCCTAAGTTTTCTTCTGACCTTCACATGTGCACATGGACGGGGACACACACACACACACACACACACACACACACACACCACACAGAGATAAAAATTTAATAATAAAAAATTGAAGCCAGGTGTGGTGGCACACGCCTTTAATCCCAACACTTGGGAGGCAGAGGCAGGCGGATCTCTGAGTTCAAAGCCTGCCTGGTCTACATATCAAGTTCCAGGCCAGCTGGGGCTACAGGGAGACCCTGTCTCAAAAAAAAAAGGAAAGGGTGCTACAATTCACACTTCTAAATTCAAATTTTATTGGAAATAATTTAAGATTGTTCTTGTATTTTTTTTTTTTTCCTGATTTTGGCATGACCTATTTCCAACCTTTAAGAAAACAAATATTCTAGCTGGGCGCAGTGGTGTACATGTTTAATCCCAGCACTCAGGAGGCAGAGGCAAGTGAGTCTCTGTGAGTTCAAGGCCAGCCTGGTCTACATAGTGAGTTCTAGGCTAGCTGGAGCTATAGAGAGACCTTGTCTCAAAAAGACCCCAAAAAAAAAAGAAAAAAGGAAAAATACTATTGGTTATAATAGGAAAATAAAGCAAAACATAACCCTAATGCCAAACAAAAACAACTCCCCAAAGCAAACAAAAAGCCATCAAGAACCACCTGTATGTTACTCTTTACTACATCTCCAAAATAGTGTCTTCAAAATCAAAACAGAGGAAAACACCCAGCTTCTTGGAAGTAGAGACCAATGACCCTGGGAATTCACAGACCTCTATGAGCAATACTTTGTGCACTATTTCCCTTTGTGTTCAGTTCAAACCCTGCTGACCTTACGTCCAGGAGAACATCATGGTGGTGAAAATGGCTAGGCTGGCATCTGAAAGGAGAGCTTTTTAAAGGTATATTTGGACATTCTAGAGGCAGATCAGACCTGGGAGGGGACAATCAACAGAGGACACACACACAAAACACTAGCGTTGGCAAAAGAATGCTAAAAATAAAAATCTGAAAAACATACTACCAATTCTAAAAACAACCAAATAACATCCCAACAAATCCCTGAATCACTGTGTCATAGTTCAACACATCTTTGGGAAAGAGACACTGCCTTGTAATGCCAGAACCTAAACATCGCTGCCACTGTCTGCATTTTTTCTACATACACCGCTTTACACAGTTGTAATCATGGTGCTCATTCAATGACTGGTTTCATAATACTGGTTTGAACCATCTACAAATAGAAGATTAAGCTAGTTATACACAGAGCATTGAAGGCTTGTACATCAGTACTCTGTGGAGACTTTCTTTAACTGTTGGTATTAAAACTCTCGGCTATGCTGAGTGATTCATTCTTTTGGTTCTAGATTGCCATGGTTTTACTACATTAAATTTTCTTAGAATATTTGAAAACATTTCCGGTATAGTTCTCTTAATAATCTTATTATATATTTCTTTGAACTATTTTACTATTCTCAGAATTTTCCTCCTACTTAGCACTGAGTCAAATAATGAAAGAGCAGTGGTATAAGAATAAAAGTTCCTTATGTGTAAAGGTTCTTAAGCCAGAGTCATTTTTTTTTTCTGAAACAGAAAAAACTAGTTGCAACTCAATACTCAATATATTGTTCCTAAAGCAATATTTAAATGTAAGAGTAGACTGTAGTACACTATCTCCTGATGCACACACGGTTGGAAACGCAAAAGACCCACTCTGTTATATCTGGATTTTGAATCACACTGTCCAAGTTGGTGCACCTAAGGACCATTCAAACTTTGTGCAACAAACCTGACACACCAGTTTGCAAGTTGAGGGCCACTTTTAATTTACAACATCAATTTGTTACTAAATTCAAACAACTAAGGAAAAGGACCTACTTCTGCCATATCTCTCACCACATGGGAGGCAAAGCCAAGAAGACTGCTTTGAGTTCAAAACCAGTCTAGTCTACCAAGTAAGACACTGTCTCAGCAACAAAAAAAAAAACAAAAAAAGGGAAGCAAAACCAAAAAACTAGGATGTGAAATATATTTTGTTACAACACATATCTATCCAGATATTTCATCCGTATCTTTATCTTTCTGTTTGCTTTCTGACTCCCCTCAAAAACATAACTGTAGACAGAAGGAGTCTTAGAATGGGGCAGTTTCCCTGGGAACTGTAACCAAAGGCTCTCTTATTCACTCATCACTGTATACCCAGCAAGGTACCTGCCATACTGTGATTATTCAATGTTATTTCATAGCTGCTGGTAGAATACACTGACAAAATGGTTTCAGAATAGTGTCTCGTGGCTATATCTACTATGCAGAAGGGCTCAACCTGCAGGACTCTCTGGATAGTGAGACAACAAAGGCTAAAAACATTTCCAGATAAATGAAAAAGTATGTATGTTCTTGCCTTAATTTATGCTTCTGTAAGGAACAACAAAGCATGGGTAAGCAATTTGGCAACATGTGGACTAAAAAAAGGCAACAGTGACAAATGAGTGTTTCTCCCAACAATAGAAAGGAAGCCCTTGATGATATTGCTAAACTAAACCATGTTTTTGGTAAACATGTCTGTGTTTCAAAATGGGACTCTAAACTAATACTTGAAATTAGAAACATGTCACTGCAAAACAAATGACTCAGGAAAAATATCACCTCTCCCACTTGGGATTTTTGCTATTCATCTGTGGGGCAATACAGGACTCTAACTCAGGGCCTTGGGTTTGCAAGGCAAGCACCCTACCTCCAAGTTGTACCCCAGGCCCCACTTCAGTTGTTTAAAAAGTTTGTGAAGGTATGGTGGAACACTGTCTTCTGGGTATGACATGACCACTGCCCTCTAGAACTGTCAGCAACCATGATCTTATCTGAAGAAGACCTGCACAAGGCTCAGCCCATCAACTCTCCATTATGGAGGTAGAAAGGGGTTCACAAGACCACACCCTTCCCGAGAATTTATTGACAGTGAATAGTTGCCCATGCTTCTCTACGTAACCTTTCACCCACATTCCTCTAAGTAACTGTAATTAAACCTATTGGCTCACCAAGGTAAACTTGAGGGAATCATTTCTTTGGCCTGTTGCTGGTGCCCTCTCTGAGATGAACAGAAGTTTGTTGTTTCCCCAGGAAAACTTCCCATAACAGAAGCTTTAAGTTAGGCATTTTTTTTCAATACATACATTTTATTGAATTTTTGTGAATTTAATATATCTTAATCACATTTAGACCCCCTCCCCTAACTACATCCTCCATAACCCTACATCCCCACTGGATTTCATGCATTCTGTCATATATGTTAAGACTTATCTATGTCCCCTGGTGTGACTGGAGACTGGTCAGCCTATCTAGCATCACTCCCTTAAGAAAGACTAACTCTCCCTCACCCAGCTGTGATCAGCTACCAATAGTTCCTCAGCTAAGGTCAGGCCTCCTGTCCATTTCCAAGTTTTATGGTAGGTTTCTGTATGAGTTTTCATGGGTTTTGGGCATGCTGTCACCAATGCTGTAAATTCGTATGAACAAGCCCCCAGAAACCTGAAGACTGTTTGCCTGTGGTCATGCATCACCCCTGGTCTTAAAATGTTTCTGTCCCCTCTTCCTCAATGGTCCCTGAGCCCTGGGTGGGTGAAGTTTTAATACAGGTTAAATTAGGCAAATATTTAAGGCAGTAATCAATTGAAGTAGTTGTTTATGATCATTCATATGTCACTTTTGGTAAGTAATTTTGACACAACTTCACATTTGTAATATGAATTTTCTTCTTTTTTTGTTTTGTTTTAAAACAGGGCCTCACTATGCAGCCCCAGCTGGTCTGAAACTCACTATGTAGACCAGGCTGGCTTTAATCTCACAGAGATCTGCCTCTGCCTCTGGAGTGCTGGGATTAAAGGTGTATACAAAGATGCCTGGCAGAATGGTTGTACTTTAATAAAAACAAATTTCAATTATATAAGCAGAATGGTAGGAATTATATACAGAAACAGAAAATTAAAAAACAGGAAAAATAAAAGAAAATCTCATTAGATAAGTGAGTCATTAATGAAAAGTACAAATTTAAAACAATGTCTGACATCTTAACATATATAAAATGTTACCCACATGCACACAGACTATGAGTATATACAATAACATGAATTAGACATAAAGGAGAGAGGCCAATGTGCAGTTACATGCTACTAAAAGACACATTTGGGGTTAGACACTTGAACTGACTCAGGGAGGCGTCATATCTTTTGTGGATATTTCCTTATATGTAAAGTGAAGGTACCATTCAGAGTC